TTACTTCCTTTGTGATGTCTTTTTATGAACATGTTCTAAATTTTAATATAGTTGGCTTTATTACTTTTTTATTTCTGCTTAGCAATTTAAATGTTTTTAAAAATCCTTCCCCATTCCAAGATAAAAAAGTATTATCCTGTATTTTCTTCTAAAAGTTTTAAGGTTTTGCTTTTCACAATTATCTTTAACTCACCTAGAAGGGAATTCTGTGTATAACGTAAGGTAGGATCTACTTTAGATTTTCCCATTTGGATAGCCAATTGTCCCAGCTGCAGCATTTTGTTGAATAAACACTCCTTTCCCCTGACTAATTTGTCATGTCACTTCTGCCCTATAGAGTTTCATACATAATTGGCCCGTTTTTTGGTTCCCTGTTTTGTTCTTTGAGTTCATTTACCTATTCCTGAGACAACAGAATAATATGATAATAATTCTTGATATTACATATAGTCTTCTACTTCTTCAGTGGTCTTGACTATTCTTTGCTTTGCTCTTCCATATAAATTTTAAAATTAGCTTGTCAAGTACTTATATAATATAAATCCAGTGTAGCTTAGCTATCCTGGTTGGAGCTACATCATAGTATTTGTAGTACTCTACATGGAATATAGGAAGGTAATAGATTTTGGATATTTATCTTATAGTTGACTTCTTTATTAAACTCTCTTATTATTTCTAATATCTAGTCTACAGATGCTTCTGAGTTTTCAACTCAAACAATGTTCTCCTATCTATCACCGCAAACGAGCCCAAAACTTACTGGCTTGAAACAACCACCACTGATCATTTCTCACTATTCTGTGGTTTGAATGGGCTCAACTGGGCAGTCCTTTCTACTCCAGATGAAGTCAACTTGGGATGCACTTGACTAGAGGTTTGACCATGCTGCAGAATTTAAAATGACTAACTCAGATGGCTATAGTAAGTACTGGCTGTCAGCTGTGAGCACAACCAGGGCTACTGACAGGAGCACCCTGGTCCTCTTCTGCATGGCCTCTCCTTTGTTTTTAGTATTCTGAAGTTTAATTATGATGCATATGAGTGGGAATTTCTATTTATTCTGCTTTGGGATATGTTTTGCTTCTTTGATCTTTGAATGTTTCTCATTATTTTTGTAAAAACTGTACCCAGTAGCTCTTAAAACGTCAGCTTGCTTTCATTGTCTTTATTTTTCAGAGATTAGATACTATGGGCAAAGAGTTAAAAGTTTTCCCCTGTACATGAGCATCCAACCTTCAGTTAACTCTCTAGCTCTTTTCCTCCGGAAGTCTGATAAGGATAGAATGTCAACTATATTGCTAGGCAACATTCACTTAACACAAATGATCCCTGATTGGTAAATTACATCTGGGCTGAGGAGAACTATAAATTAACTATAAATACCTGATGAAGACACTGTGGTTTGGCTTCCCTGAGTTCAGTGATTCTCGTAATTGGCATGTCCCTTGCAGGATCCCAGAAGCTACACTTCTAGAGTCGTTACAAGAGAAACTAGCTCTTCTGGGGCATAAGACTTTAAGCCTAGCCAACTCTCACACCCATCCACTGTGGATCTCATCTCCTTCCACCTGAGCTGAACTGCTTCAGAAGCTATTGCTGACAAGTAATATGTCATGCTGCCCTCCTGGTAAGCTGAGCTGCTTCTGAGTAGCATGACCTGTGGCAGTCTCCTGAGAATGAATGTTTAATTGAACCCAGGAGGATTCCCCGTAGGTATTACAAATACATACAACTTCTCATTTTATGCTCTGTGTCTCTTAATGTATTTCATATTTTCCATCTTCTTCTCTCTCAGTGCTACATGCCATTGTTTCTTTATACGCAGTTTCTTCTAGCTCACTAATTCTATTTTCAACTTTTTAATCTGTTGACTACCATTTTTTATTTTGGCAAGTATAAACTTTCATTTCTAAAAGTTCCTTCCCCACCCCCCCAAATCTGTTTATTCCTAATAATCTCTTGTTGACTGGACAGTTTTGTGACTACATCCTTTATTTCTTTGTGAGTAGCAGTTATATGTTCTGGTAGGTGAAAGTTCATTATCTGTAGTTCTTTGGGAGTATAAATATATTATTTGTTGTGTCTACCAATAAGTCATAATGCTTATGTAGTAATCACCAGACTATGACGTCATTACTAGATCTTAATGAACAAGAGTTTTATAGGCCTAAATTGAGAATGGGGAAGCTTTCTAGCAAAGACTTGCTGCTTCTCCCAACAGTCATGGCTACTACTACCTGGGCTTTAGGCCCCTGAGGGTCCAGGGCTAGGCTTAGCACAGGCTGCCCAAGATTCAGTATCCAGATAGCACTGCTGCTATCAGCAATTAACCTCAAGCAACTCTCTCATCCCAATTGCCTACCTCCTCACTCTGATCCACCTCACGGTGGGTTTGTTTGTTTTTGACAGAGAACAGTTCTTAGAAATCCCTCCTACCTCCAGTGGGACTGGCAACGTCTCAAATAATAAGTCTTTTCCAGATTTTAGTTATTTCATGCAGGTGGCTCACCTGGAGCTCCTAATTAGCTCACATTGTTGGAAGCAGAACTTCCGTGCCATTTTACAAAGATGAAAACATTGAATACATAAATAAACATTTATATGTTCATATTATATAATCTGATATTTTGCTTCCTTATAGAATTTATAATTTTATAGACAAAATCCCAACCTCATTATTTCTTGCCATGACTTTAGTAACCATCTTACTAGTCTCTTCTCATCATGCTTTCTTTCAATCTATCTGCCATCAGCCACATGATCCTTATAAAATGAAATCTGATTCTAAAGCTCCCCTTATTAAACTACTTCTAAGTCCATTCTGCCTTTCTGGAAAAATATTCCTCACCAGCATCACCTCCTACACCTCCTGGCCATGCTAAATTACTAGGTCTCCTTGTGCTGCACACATTCGGGCATGCATCGCCCTCCACCTCAAAACACATTTCACACATCTGTGTATCCTTCAAGTTTAGCTCTGGGGTTATCCCAGGTTTTATGAACATTTCTTAAGATTCTTCCAGCCCAAACCATTCCTGACTGTAAGTGAAATGTCCCAGGAAAATGCAACCAACGGCCCTTGTGTTCCTTGGTACCAATTTCCAAGGCAAAGTATAGTTGTAAAAACTCCCTCTTTTTAAACCCACCTCCTTTCCTGGCTGAGCAGCAGCCACTCCTCTGTTCTACCCTCAAACCAACCTCTACTCTCTGCTCCAAGACTCTCCCCCAAAACATATCTGATGTTTCAACTCAAATGCATTTGGTGAGGTACGTCCCTACATTCCCTATCTCTTCTTTATTTTGGGATGGAGAAGTTCAAGCCAATTAACTGAGCAAATATTCCATTTTAGCTTTAAGTTTATCACACCTCCTTTCTCACCCTCATCTTTCATCATTCCATAACAGAAATTAAAAGCATGCTGAGAGCTGCTGTTTTAAAAGTCTTTTTATAAATCCTTCTGACAAATAATGAAAGCCTTCCTGATGGAAATAAAGCCTTCCTGGCTTTACTAGGTGGATCCAGAAAACTGCTGATTCTATTTCCACCTGACCATCTCCCTTCTATTTCCATTCCTACTACTATATAGTCTGCCCATCACTATTTCTTTGACAACAGTCTTCTAATATATTTCACCTCTAATCTACTCTCTACAGAAGTTATCTTCCTAAAATATACATCCAATGATGCTACTTCCCCACACCAAAACCTTTACTAATAAGTGATTCACTCTGCAAACAGTAAGCATCTATCATGTGCCAGCTGCTATGCGAGGCTCTGGAGATTGCATGGAGGACAAGGACAGAGATGGCTACTGCCCGCATGAAGCTTATAATCAGGGGTGGGGGGAATGTAAAGTGCTAAAGAGAAAACAACAAAATGAGGAGTGCTCTTAATAAAGAAAAATAAGGGCGACAGACTTACTTTGGGGACAGGAAACACCTCTCTAAGTAGGTGACAGTTAAACTAAAATCTGAAGGAAAAGAAGGCAGCTAGGTAAAAAGTGCAGTCAGATGAAGAAGAGAGAAATTCAGGCAGCAAAAAGAGTTTGGAGAAAGGGAAAGGACCTGAAGCAGGAAAGATCCTGAGAAATTAGATGAACTAAAAGAAAATCAGTATGGCTGAAATGTACCAAAGTAGAATTTGGCTCCCTGATCCGAGCAGAATAAAGTTCAAATCCTGATCAAGAACATTTGCCTCTGGCCTCAACTTACCTTTCCCACTCTCCTTTATATTACCTTTCTTTTATAGCAACCCACACTTCGACCACTCCAGACTACGTCCCTTCCTACCCAACCTAGATCACATGTTACAGACCTCCATGCCACTGATCATGCTATTTCCTCTGCCTACAATGTTCTTTTCTTCAAGTCTTTCAGATCTCATCAGGAACAATTATCTCTCAATTCTTTGTGACTCAGAGCATTTTGTTTATAACTCGTCCACTATAATTCTAAAACTGATTTATAATTAATGATGTATATATTTGTCTTCTCCACAAGATTATGACTATAAGCCACGTCAGTTATTTTTGTATCTCCTCCCCCAGTCTTCCAAACACAAGACACAGTGCTCAATAAATGTGTGTTGACTTAATGTGTTAGTATGAGTTTTCATAATTAGGTTATAGCTATATCATTTTAACTACAATATACTGGATTATTAGTATTAAATTACAAAATATTTGTTCTGTAACAAAAAACAGTTTGTAATCATAACCATATTTTTGTAGAAAACCAATAAGGATTATAATTGAGAAATTAAAAAAACAACTCCTTTAAGATCACTTAGAGTAAAATAGACAAAGGACAGTTTCCTTAATAATTACTAAGGCATGCCCTATCATTAAGTTTTCTTATCACAGTAAAAAGTGATCAGGATATAAAGGAAAAACAGGTTTACCACCTTTAAAACAACAGAAGCATAATTACTTGATAAGGTCTTCTAAATTATAATTACTCCAACATCAGCCCATCCAGATACATTTATAGAATGTGCTAACCTCTTTTTCCCCGAGTACCATTCAATGAAGAACCAATGTAAAACAAGAGGAAGCATAGCCATAAATCCAAGATAAAGCCAATCATAAAGTTCTGGAGACTCTGTGCAAGGTTGACAATATTTCTGTGCATTTGTTCTTTGTCCTCTTGGGCACACCTACAATATAGAAAAGCAATATTTTGTGTACAGATATTATTTTAGAATACTGACACACTCCAAAAACAAATCATTCTATAAGACATCTCATTTCAGTTCATACATTTAAGTTTACACGTGTAACTTTTAGAAATGAACAAAAGAAAACATAAATACATAAGTAAAATAAAAAGAAATCTACATTGTATGTGCTATATCTGTACAGTGTTCTTAAAGGTTTCTTTAACTAAGTTACTAAAATAGCTGACTAACATTCAATGAAAAACCTAGTTAACATCATATAAAAATTGCAGAGAAATGTCCTGTATTTGTAATGTTAACTTACTATATGAATCGCCATACTAAATCATTAAAAAAGGAATTTGAAAATGTTTTTGTAAAATACGTAATAATTGTGACTATCAAGAAATATGTAAGGTATTATAGACATCAATATGATAATATTTTATGAATGCCTCCATATTCTTTTACAAATTACTGAGCATATATAAGAAAAAAGATTCTACACGTGAAAATATTTCCAAAGCAAATAGATTTTACAAATGAAATACAAACATAAGACTTACCCCACATTCTCCATATATTTCAGTTGAGCCATTTTTAAATAATAGGGTCTTCCCACAATAAAGTCCAAGGCATGCTGGTTGAATATCGACAGCTTTTTAAAAACAAATGCCAGTATAGTAACATCTTTTGTGATTATAAAAAAAATAATGCAATAATAGCCGAAGCAGTTGGCAGAAATATCTCAACACAGTTTCAAATCTTAAAATGCTATATATTAGACAAACATCTTGAAGCATTTATTTTTAAATTTAAATTTCTCTTTTTTATACCAGGACATTGTAGAAAGTTATACTGGAAATTTGGAGTTAATACTGTTCTTTATGATTAAAGTCCTCAACCAGCAGAGCAGAATCTATCCCCAGAACTCAAAGCCTAATGCGGTATGTCTCCAATGGCTCCAGCCAGCCACTCTCCTTGATTAGAGTAGACTTTTGAATTTCATTGATTACAAGTTCAAAAATAAATTTTTTTAAAAAATTAGAATATCAATAGAAGGTCATCACCTTTTATCTTGCCCAGTCAGGACATTAAGCACATACATGTACGTACACAATCTATTATCACCTTTGTTCACCAAAGAACACATTCTCACACCAGAAAAACATAAAGAACATAATTTCAGAATAAAGGGCAAGCCTTTAGAGTAAATAAATTCAGCTTTATAAAAATCCTCCTATGTTATCCTAGTTTTCATCATTTTCTGTTGAGGACAGGTGAAAATTTCATCAAGGCTGTCACTGGGTTTCTGACCATTATTTAGGAACCACTGCCTTAGAATTAATCTCCTGATCTCAAGGTTTAGGGAAAATAAAAAGCAGCTCTTCTTTACAAAAAAAAAAACAAATCTCAGGACCTACTCAGGATTGTCTTTGACCTCATCCACGGGGAGAAATTATTAAAGTTTTTTTTCATCAATGACACCTGATCCCCTTCATTTATTGATTCGTTCATTCAATAAACATGTATTGAGTGTCAGATTCCACAGGTTAGGGGCCACCAAAGGTACACATCTAGTAGATGCTTCATAAATACATTTCACTGTCAATAACCTAAAGTTTCTCAAAAAGACATGAAAACTAGCACAATAAACTGAAAGCAACAGCTCATCATCTACCAAAGAAAATCCTGGCCCCAAGTGTCTGTTCAATTTCCCCTTTCATTTCTTTTAGTGAAAGATAACTAAAATTTTAAGATTTTTTTTTTCAACGGTCTTGCCCCTTTGTGACGAGCCCTGTGAACTTAGCTTGAGGTTGAAACAGGAGACAGTAAGTTATGTAGCAATTCGCCTTTGCTTCCTCTACTGTTTTTCTGCACTATCGCCCGCGCTTTTAATTTTGAAGTCAACCCTGATGCATGTGTTTCCTCCATATTAAACAAAGGGACTGAAGTGACATTTCGAACACAATAACAACAAAGACCTAGCCTTTCCCCCTGCACACTGCGCGCTTTCTCTCTGCAGCCTGCCAGGAGCAGGGACCACCCACCCCGGGAGGAGTCCCGGCCCGGCCCGAGGGCAGGCGAGAGCAGGGGCGAGCATGCGCCGCTAGCCGAAGGCCGCCCGCCCGGAGCCGAGCCTGGAGTCGGCTGCGTGTGGAAGAAGTGGGGACTAAGACAAGCGCCTCTCGCATCTCGGCGACCACTCACCCATTGGCCGCCTGTAGGTTTCTCCAGGGAAGATCCGGGATCAGCGGATCCGGCCGCAGCGTCCGGACATCCGGGCCACAGCGCTCCCGGCGGCTCCGCCTTCCAGTAACCCGGGCGACAGCCCCGAAGTCCCGCCCCTGCTTCCTGGTCCAGACTCCGAGGCCCCGCCTCCTGGGCCTGCCTCGCGCCCCGCCCTCTCCCGCGGAAAACCAGGGCAGTACCTGGGCTTGAGGCGAGCGCTGCGGGACGGTGCTTGTGTCCAAGGACGCAGACGATGGAGTGCGCGCTGGCCGTGCCCCGGCTGCCCCCGCATGACCAGGGGACGCCGGTGCTGTCGGTGGTGGACATGCACACGGGTGGTGAGCCCCTGCGCATCGTGCTGGCTGGGTGTCCGGAGGTGGCCGGGGCCACCTTGCTGGCCAAGCGGCGCTACATGCGCCAGCACCTTGACCATGTGCGTCGACGGCTCATGTTCGAGCCCCGAGGGCACCGGGACATGTATGGGGCCGTCCTGGTGCCGAGCGAGCTGCCAGATGCGCACCTGGGCGTGCTGTTCCTGCACAACGAGGGCTACAGCTCCATGTGCGGCCACGCCGTGCTGGCGCTGGGCCGCTTCGCTCTGGACTTCGGACTGGTGCCGGCGCCCCCGGCCGGCACCCGCGAGGCCCGCGTCAACATCCACTGCCCGTGCGGGCTGGTGGCCGCCTTCGTGGAGTGTGAGGGCGGCCGCAGCCGTGGCCCAGTGCGCTTCCACAGCGTCCCAGCCTTCGTGCTGGCCATAGGTAACGCGCGGGACAACAACATTAACCGTCTCTCTGGGCTGGACCCCGCGCGGCGCAACTAACCACCCCGCATGCCCTTGCAATTAATGAAAAAGTAATTATAAATCACTGTGAACATGTGTCTGCATATTAGCCTTGCTTATTTGCTTGGTACATGCAATTCCATTATCCCGCAGATCTCTCGCTTGTGGTCTTGGGAGAGCCTTGAGGAGTAAAGAATTAATGTTTCCCTTACTCAGCGCCGCCTTCTGCTCTGGTCAGGCACTCCTAGAGAATTCACAGCTGATAAAGCAAGGCATGCTAGGGGTCAAGGAAAGAACAAAGAACAGCCCATGTACCAGGACAGGATTCCAGGCTGGTTAGGACTATGTTTGATAGACACATTATTACCCCTAATTACTTACTAAACACAGTCTTTTTCCCCCCCTAATTTTCCCCACTTCTTTGAAGAAGAATTACATGCGAATGAGTGAACTAGGCAATTTATAAATCGTGAAGATACAGATGTTGCTGCTTTTATTCTTCAAGAACAGGAACAGATGTTACCTGTGTTCAAATACTGACAACCCCGTAAAGCTGTGCAACCTTAGGCAACTTACTTAACCTTTCTATGCCTGTGTTCATTTATCTCATAGAGTTTTTTTCGTTAGGATTAAATGAGAGTATGCAAGATACTTAGATACTTAAAAATATATAAAATACATTCCTCAAGATGGAAAGACTGTAGGATATATAGGATTGCTAGTTAGAGTTTCTAGGCATATAGAGCCATTAAAAGGTTTTGCTGGGTTCCCTAGTACAGATCCTTGTACAGTATATCACTTAAAGCAGGGCATCTGTATAACCATAACCCTACAAGAGGGAGCTCCCTCATGGGGATTACCTGGCAAGCTGGCATCTGGTCTCATCTGAGTATTCCCTCCAAGGGGCTGAATTCTATCAATCAGTGAAGATACTTCAATAGTTGTGACTGGCAGTGAACTGGGAGCTAATTTGGTTAATCCAGGATTAGGGTTATCACCTCTTTTCTTCAAAGTCTTCAAGCCATGCAAACCAATCTGTTGGAAAATTTGGTCTTTATCCTCCCTGAGGAATTGGACTGCAAATTAGCCTGATTATGAATGCCACGATAATAGAACAAACATTGTCACTCTTCAAGCAATCTCAGGCAGCTGAAACACACAAGTCGTGGAAGAATGCCTCAGGAGAAATTGATGCCATTTTGCCCTTTAGGAGGGAAGGGTGTCATGTCGGGATTGGGAGGGCATTTGAGAGAGAAAGAATTTATGTTTAGGATTGCGTCTAAAAAACCTCAACAATTTTTCTGGCTTGGCTACCTGATTTCCCCCCAGCAGCAGATGAGAAGCATTCTAGATTTAGTGGGCACTGACAGCTGGCAGCAGGGTCCAGCTACATCATATTCCTGGGTTGGTTAGGGCAGGGGCTGCCAACTCCTCAAGCACAGTATTTCCTGACAGCCTCAGTGTATGACAGCACAATAATTACGGGGCATTAATGATCACTTTGAGTTATTAAGAAAATGAAATACTGTATTCTCTACTTTGAAAAATGCATAAAAGGCAGGCTGATGGTGCATAAGATCACTTCTCTGCTCTTCCCCACCTTGGTGACCTTGTTCGAGAGAGTCTATGCTGCAGTGTCACAGCCAATAAAATGAGGACGACAATAGTACCCACCCCAGAAAGTTGCTGAGTTCATCTCCACCCCACCATGCTAAAATGGAAACTCTATTTCATTCACCATATTCCAAGAGCTTAGAACAATAGGTAGTCAATGACTATTTGTGGAGTAAGTAAATGAAATTTGGAGATTATGCTGATTAACAAATGTAAATATCTGATTCTGTTGAGAACCCTATTCCCATTGGAAATTAAACTTTTGGCTTTAATATTAACATTTAGTGTATCCCTAATCTATGCCAGGCATTGCCCACAAATTTTTCACATGGAATTCTCAAAACACCTCTTTTAGAGGAAATAGCAATTTTACACAAGAGGACACTAAAGCCACGCTAAGTGGCAGAACTAGGATTTGAGCCCAGGCTTATCAGATTCCTTCCCTCTCATCCTTAAAATTTTTGCAGTATAAGGAGATGTGTTGTAATTTTCTGGAAAACTGCTTAACGTATTACATCTCATTCACATTTACAGCATAGTTTAAGTTTTGTCTCTCTTGTCCATTAGAGTTCAGTTGGACAAAGAAGAAGGGCAAAGACTGTTTTATATATCTTTGTACCTCTTAGTAATTGACATATAGTTGGTGCTCACTAAATCTTGAGCAAAGTAAGTCAAATTGAAATTTCAGTGGTATGCCTGTATGGAAAAAAAGGAAAAACCTTAGATTATGGGTTGATTTCTAGATAGTAGTTGTATATTTTAATAGAAAGTGTTTGGGCTTTAGAGTCATTTGGTCCTGGGTTCAACTCCAAGCTCTGCTATTTATTTGGTGCATAATTCTGGGGAATAATGTGAGGATAGCAAATAATACAGTAGCTATCTCTCAGAGCTGTAGTGATTAAGGAGCTAATGTCATGAATTAAAGGGCTATTTAAAGTACTTGGCACATAGGATGTACTCGTGTGAAACAAGTATCTTAATTTTTAATATTAGTAATTTCATGATTAAAAATAGTCACAGATAATTAATGGACAGAAGTAACTTTCAAGGACATCTGGTCCATTTTAAAGAAGAGGAAACTGAAACTCAGCAAGGTATAGCACCCTACCCAACTGCCCACCCCAAAATTCTAGAAAGGGTAGCCAGGGGAATGATCATATGCCCAGTGATCGCTTCTCTTGAGCCAGCTTCCCCATTCTGCCCTGGCCTGAGGATTGGTGTCCAATTCCCCACTCAGTTGTACAATCAAGAGAGGAAGGTAGACAGACTGAGCCACAGCCTTGCCACCCCTGTCTCCTGATAGGTGCCAATCTTCAGCCCCCCACCGACCTTAGCTCTCCACATTGTGGCAGTCCCACATTTCCATCTGCTTCCTCGTTCTCCTTTCATTAAACCTGCTTTTCATGTTGCGCCAGCATTAAGATAGACATTTCTGGTTCAGTTTTGCTGTTAAGATCCACAGACATGTTTTACTTGGTTATAAATTTGCTCTGGTTTGATACATCAGGGCTTCTGTAGACTAGTCTGGAACTGATAGCACACTGGGATCTTTGTATGACTCAATGTGAAAACTCAGGAATACAAGAAATATTTTAACAACTTGATTTCTGAAATTGAAACCCCACTCTGTCCTTTTGGTTGACTGGGCCTCATCCTTCTATGTGCTGTCCTCTTTCCTGGTATGTGTGAACAAATGTTTCTCAAAAGTGCCAAGAACTTGGAGAGGAGGGCCCTTCTGTCCTCAGCTTGCACCGTTAACCAGCAAAGCAGAACGTTGCCTGCCCCACCCCATGCAGCCCCCTCCCTCTGCCCCTGCCTCCCCCTCCTTGTCTGCTGCCTCTGTTTCCTCGCCTTCCCATGATGCTGTGGGGAAATCAACACAGGTCCTCTGCACTCAGGCCTTCGGCCTCTTCTCTTCCCAGGCCGGAGGAAATTTCTCTCTATATTCCTTCAAGGTACTCCTTTGCCAACAAATGCCTTTCCCCTGAAAAATTAGATTTCCATAAAACAAAAACAGAAAGACCTGCTTTATTCCCTATCATACGCTTCTCCCAGAGGCAGTGATCACCAAGCCAGCTTGAATTGGGGAGGAGGAAAAGAAGGAAATTCGAGAAGGGGTAAACAGTTTAATGTCCCAAAATATCACTCAGTTGCATGTCTTTGGAAATACCAATTCAGGGATATCAGACAACTGACCTTCAAGTGAACCTTTGGGTATGTCAGGGACTTAAAATGCTCAAATATGCTAAATGATACTGTAGAGGTTAATGATCCTACAATGCCTTTATTCTGAGTATTTGTGGATAATTTAATGAGATGAAAATACGTACATGATTAAGTGTATATAATTTATATAAAAAAATCTTTTTCCAAAAATTTTGTCTTGACATTATAGCTGAAGAAAACCAAATTGTGAATAGGATCCAAAATCCTCACTATTTTAAACTATCTCTAATGGGATAAGCGGGTACCTACATTTTCCTTCACTGTTTTCACAGGGATGTCCCAGGACTTTCCCTCTCTCGGCCTCTACGATGTTTCCTAGAAACGATGTTTCCTAGAAAAGCTGCTCAGAGTAGTTAACAGATGCATATGTATAAGTTGGGGAAAACATAGCATTCAGTATTATAATTTATGTAAAGATCAAGTTAAAAATAGAAAGATGCACCTAGCTATTACTTACCTAATCCTTACTCATTTTAAAAATTGATTTTTTTGCTTCATTCCATTTTATGATAGGAAAAGAACAACCCCCCCAGTACTGGAAATAAATATATTAAAAATGTGGTGAATTTTGTTGCTAAAATGTTTATTAACAAACACATCTTATTTCCAAACACATCTTTTTTAGATCTCATGGTAGATGTTCCTGGACATGGAAAGATGGTGGTAGACATCGCATATGGTGGAGCATTTTATGCATTTGTTAGTGCTGAAAAGTTAGGACTTGATGTTTGTTCTGCAAAGACAAGGGACCTTGTAGATGCAGCGAGTACAGTGACAAAAGCAGTGAAAGCTCAGGTCAGTGCAATTTCTGCCTTCATAAGAAATGTTCTCCTCTGTGGCATGGACAAAATAGAAATTATTATGTCTGTGCAGAAACTTAAATATCTAATATCTAATATTTAAATTATTACTAGTACTAAGAATAGAGTACTGGTTAAAATCTTAGGCTCTAAAGCAAAACTACCTATGAGTTCTAGCTTTGCCACTTGTAATGTTCATAACCTTGGATAAGTTACATGACCTCCATATGCCTCAGGTTTCCTATCTGCAAAATGGAAATTATGAAATATTTGCTTCGTAGGGTTCTAAAAATGAAGTAAGCCAATACATGTAAAAGACATAGAATAGTATCTGGTCCATAATGTTCAATAAATTATAATTATTAATTTTAATTCTTCTATACTAATATAGTTTGTGGTTATTTAAAATGTATAGTAAATATATAGAATTCCACTAATTTAAAATGCATGTGCTTTGCTATATGTGGTCATTCTGTAAAACTTGGAAATAATGAATGTAAAATATAGCTTACAAAATAGATTTCATTAAGTCTTATAAGACTTTCTCTTATTCACAGAGAACATTAATTCCTAATTAGTGAATCATTTCCTATATTGCTGAGAAGTTACTCAAATAACTATTCAAGTAACTCTAGTTTTGGCTTGGGAAATCTATTCTGATAAAATTGGTTTAGTCTGCCATTTCACCTTGAAATTGGGGCCTATAAATAAAATACAAGTACAGTATTTGAATGTTTAATATATGAGAATTTAATTATTGGTAGTAGTAAAAAATAACATATGAAAGATAGTGTCTAATATACTTGTACTAATAATTATTAGGGGCCTATTTAACACTCCTGAGGCTTTAACATAATTTATAACTTAAATAACCAAATAAAAATGTATATTATATCACTGTTCTAAATTATTTTTCCAGGACTGTCAATACCAATATGTGGAATCATGTTATCACAGTAAATTCTGAAGCTCTAGATTTACATCAATTTTCTGTTCCATTAAGTAGACAGATAATAGTTCGAGTTATTTAATTGGGCACAAAATAATTTCACCTGACTTTTAATGAACTCAAGAGATAAAATCATGGTTTTCTTAATAAAAGGAGTAATTTGAATTTCTCATTAGAGCTTGAACTTCTCAACAAAGTGGCAAGGGGTGAACTTTGAGCAAGGAGGGATTCTGAGAAAAATATGAGGACGAGTTCTATTATCGATGTACCAGGTAGTACAACTACTTTGTGAACTGCTGACCATTTGTACTGCCAAAGCAGATTTAGTGAAAGGCCTTTTGGTGGGGGCTAACACTGATATAACATAAATTCATCTTCATTCTTTCATAAGACATAAACAGACATTTATCAAGAACACATTGTATGTCAGTCATTATGCTAGATGCCAGAGACTCAAAAAAAAAAAAAAAACCCCACCTTCAAGGATCTTGCTTTAGTAGGGGCAGCGATTATAGTCGTGAACTGAGTTATGCTGGAATGGTGCTGAAGCGTGGGGCATAGGGGCTTTAAGAGGTTGGAAAACAAAGATCCAATCTGTAGGCCTCTTTAACTCAGCTTTAGGTGGACTCTTTGGGTTTTAAGAACCTAGTTCTATCAGTTGCTTTAAATGACAGGGAAGTGCAAGTGGAATGTACTAATTGTCCAGATACACAGGGAGGTAAGAGTGTAGTAATCTGTGTCACACTGTCAGACATCACAGAAATCGAGGAAAAGTTAAACAATTAGATCTTCCAAGAAGAAAAGGAAGCATTGCGTATTTGGGCCTGAATGTACCATTGAGTGGTTTAGCTACCCTGCCTGGGCCTGCCTCTGTCTATGTGTGTCTGCTGCTTTTCATGGAACCAGCTGATTTCATCCTCTACAATAAATCTTTCTGTCCAATTGTTTCTCTTACCTAGTAGCTTCTGCATCCTTAGAACATTTGCTTACTCATGTCTTCTCATAGTCCTCGTTTCTGTCACTTATAACTTCAGTTCTAGATACTCATTGCCTGACTTTTCCACGTTAACCCCTTCAAGCTCCTGGGAATGAGATTGTGATTGCCTTAGCTCATCCTGTTGGAGCAGCCACAGCCAGCCTGTGGATTGACTATCCTGGGGTCAGTGCTTCAAAGAGAGTATATGTGTGTTTGAGGGTTGGGGAGTGTATAACATAGGACTATTCCTAACTTCTTTAGAAGGGATTCAAAGTATAAGAATCGTAACTTCCAATAAAACTATGTTTATTCATCTAGACAAAGACATAATTTCTAGCATTTAGTTCCTTGCCCTAAAAGGTATTTCAAAAATGATAAAGATTAAAAAGTTACATCTGAGAGTGCCCCATCTATATTATCTATAAAAATAAATTTGAATCAAAATATTTATTTTCCATGTGGTTGATAATTTTTGTTGTTATTTGCAGTTTAAAATTAATCATCCTGATAGTGAAGACCTTGCCTTTCTATATGGAACTATAATAACAGACGGAAAAGATGCGTATAGTGAGGAACCAACCACCAATATCTGTGTGTTTGCAGATGAACAGGTATTAAAACTGTAATTTTAAGGCATAAAAGCCAGAATATGGAACCAAAACACTGAACATTCTTATCTTCATTTATTTTGAAACAGGTTGACAGAAGTCCTACCGGTTCAGGAGTGACAGCCCGAATTGCCTTACAATATCGCAGAGGGTTTCTAGAACTGAACCAGACCAGAGCCTTTAAAAGTAGCGCCACTGGCTCAGTATTCACAGGAAGAGCTGTGAAGGTGAGTGACACCTGTAGCTTCTTATTCATAAATGTGTTCCTTATGGGACTGAAGAGGCCTGAATTGGGTGTTTAATAAGTTTCTTCACTCGGCTCTCAGAAGAGAATTTTAAAGCAGGCCTGTAAAAACTTCTTTTCAACTAGGACATTGGTTCTCAAAGTTTGGTCTTGGAACCCAAGAAGGTGCCTAAGGTCCTTTCCATGGGTCCAAAGGTCAAAACTATGTTCATAATAATACTAAGACATTCTTTGTTTTTTGCTGTCATCCCCTCAAGAGTGTACAGTGGAGTTCTTCAGAAGCTACATGATGTGTGATATCCCAACCAATTGAATGCAGAAGCAAATATGAGAATCTGTGTGTCTTCTGTTAAGCCAGACCTGATAGAGGTTTGCAAAAATGTAAAACAATGCCACTTTTCTCATTAAATGTTTTTTGTTTGGGCAAATAGTTATTTTCATAAAAATAGGTTATATATATTGTAACATGTAATGGGTTTATTACTTTCTTAAATGAAGTAATGAACTAATATCTTTAATTCCCAGTATAGCAAATATTGAAAGATAACACACAAACAAAAACTCTTTGGCGTCCTCAAATCTTAAGCTATAAAGGAGTCCTGAGACTAAAAGGTTTGTGAACACTAAATTAGGGTTTCAGGGGTTTTTTATTTTTGTTTTATTTCATTCCATAGTAGTGTTTCATGTTATATAATAGGATGTGGAAGCCCTGAAAAGTTGTGGACAGAATTTTTGTAGTGGAATTAAATTTTAAATGTGGTAAAAACATTAATTAATGAATCTACTCATAGTAGTAAATAAAATCTATTGTAGAATGATTAATCTATATTTATTAAATGAATCTACTCATAAAGGGTCCTTTAACATAGCAAATTATCTTAATATAGCTGTTTTTAAGGTTTGGTTTTTCTCAATTTGAATTTTCTTTAAGTTAGGGATTCCTGTATCATATAGTGATCTTGTGATAAACTAAAGCATTTATGTTGTATGCAAAAATTTGGAACACATAGTCTTCAAAATCCGAGATTGCACATAAAAATAATAATCTACACCATATATTGGGTACTTCACTATCTGTCAGTTTCCAGGCTAAGCACTTTATACATACAATCTCATTTCATCCTCACAAGAATCCTAAGAGGTTGATACTGTACTTTTATTATCCCTTTTGAACAGATGATAAAATGGAGAATTAGAGAAGTTAGGTCATTTGCCAGAAGTGAGTTAATGAGTAATGGAACCAGGCTATGAATGTGGATCTCTGAGCCGACCCTATGCTGTTAAGCACTATAGTAGATTGCTACCAGACAAAGCAGAAGTTCAGTGGGGCTTTGTATTGTAGTAGCTTTATATTAATAAAAAGATAATAAATTACTGTACCCTAATTTAATATATGGCATTTTACCTTTAGCTTCAGGTATTCTTGTTTAAAAAATTAGAAAATAGAAAGATCCTATAATTAAGATTCGAAGTTATTTATTTTGCAGTTATTATCATGCTTGCCAGAATATCTTCTCTTGTACCACACACTTTCCCTCTCTGCCTGGGCTCTTCCAGGCTCTCTGAGGGTACCTGCTCTGTCTCTTTACCTGCCCCAGATTCCTTTCCCTGTCCTCCCAGTTAGGTGTCCCCATCATTTCATTCTTAGCTTCCTTCTCATCTCATCTACAATTTGATGCCACTGGGCAGTTCCATCCATTTCCTAGGCTTCACTTCTCAAGCATCTGCTGCTGATGACTCCCAAACCCCCATCCTTACCATGCCTACTCTGTACTTCCTCCTGAATCGACCACTTGTGGTCCCAGCTATTCGCTATACTCATCTCTAAATGATTGTCCCAGAGGTATCTCAAACTTGCCTTGTTAAAAAGTTCTTCCTTCCTACAACATACTCCTCCTCTCTCATTCCCCATCTTAGTTAATGGCATCACTAGGATCACTTCCTAGCTAGAAACTGTGGTCACATTTAACTTATTCCTATTCCTCAGTTCCCACATATGTTGGTCAACAGGTCTGTCAGTTCTACCTCCAAGGTTTCTCTATATTATATTCTTCTCCGTCTTCTCTAAAAACTACCCTAGTGACTCTGGATTCAATCAGTGAATCGAGGTTATCTGTTAAGAGATGTTTAGGTTTCTAGTCTCTCTCCTCTCCAATATATCCCCCACTTTACAGCTAATGTATCTAAAACACAAGTCTGACTATGTCACTCTCCTTAGGTCCCTTGCCCATAGGATTAACCCTGGGGCTAACGATAAAAATCAAGAGTACAACTTTTAGGCCAGATACGAGTGCAATATTTCAATAGTATATGCCTTTCATCTTCTTTTTGCAGGAAGCAAAATGTGGTGATTTTCAAGCTGTCATAGTGGAAGTATCAGGACAAGCACATTACACGGGCGCAGCAAGCTTTACGGTAGAAGATGACGATCCACTGAGGGACGGGTTTCTTCTCAAGTGACTTCTTCCATGACATTTAAGGGTTTTCTTTTTAAAGTAATGATTGTCCATACTGATGTTTTCTCTAAATTATGTGAAAACCAATATCCAAATTATATACATAAGCTAATTTCCATTTTTCTAAAATAGTACACCGTGGCTAAAGTCACTATACCCATTTGTGATTATAGGTAATTAGTATTTTATTTCTGAGCATACAGAACCTGAATTAATTGATTTTACCTGGCTTTGTGAGCTAGTAAGTCTATATAGACCCAGTTACTAGGTCTGTGATTTAATTACTTGACCAAAAGAAAAGCTATAAAGTTAATGTTTTTGATTTCTCTATTACACAAAAACAATTAAGATATTTTCACTCATTCTCTATAGAATTCTGTAGTAAAGGAGATCACTTACCTCCTCAAAATGACACTAACTCATTATGACCAAATAATTTTCTACAGATTGAGATTTGCTATACCTTTTTAAAAAATAAAAAGCATCACTATTTTCTCTCAAAATTTCACATCACATTAATTCGAAATAAAAGTATGTTGTTTAAAAGTTACATTTTATAGCATTTTATAATGTGCCACTTGCGTATCCTCTACCTTAATGAAGTGCACTCTGAAATGTACATTATTATATTATGATTCCATAGCTACCAAGGATGGGGAGTATTTTTAACTCACTGATATTGTTTAGAATTGTCAGCACTTGGTAATAATAAAAAAACACTGATTTTTAGTCAGTTTTATTATTGTTTTAAAATTCTCTACAAACAGTACACCGCCTTATCAACTGCACCAGGGCAGACCACTCCCTCCCTCCCTAAAACTCCTTCAGTGGCTTGTGCCATATCTTCCCACCGCCCCATGAAGTTCTCCACAGCATGGCATGCAAGGCCTTTCATAACAGGGCCCCAATAGACTTCGATCATTCATTTCCTTCTTAACTCTCCCCCCCCCGCCCCACGTAGCCTAAGATTCAGACGCTGCTAACTTCAACACTAACCTTTGGACTTATTTGTGTTTGCCTAAGACTGTAATCCTCTGTGGGCTGGGATCCTCATCTTGTTTATTGCTTCCTAAAACTAAGCACAATCTTGGAAGACTCTGTTTGCTAAATTAATTAATCTATAATAATAATATTTTTGTCTTGGTCAACAAAATTAAGACAAGATTGGTCTCAGTTTCAGATGGGGTTGATTGCCCCCAAGGGGATATTTGACAGTGTCTAGAAATACTTTTAATTGTTACAACTGGGAGAGGTGCTACTGGCATCTCATGGGTAGAGTCTAGGGAAGCTGCTGAACATCCTACAATGCATTGGATCACCCCGCAACAAAAAATCTCCAGCCCAAAATGTCAGAAATGCTGAGGCTGAGAAATTCAGCCTTGGTTTACCGCCTTAACTGTTCTTCTGTAATATTTATGCTGTAAATTTCCAGTAGGATATTTTTTCCTCAATGAAATAAGCACTCAAAGTACTAATATCATTGAATCTAAGACCTACAAGTATACTAGTCATTCTTTAGAACAATGTTTCTCAAAGTTGACTGTGCATCAGACAGAATTACCTGGAGGACTTGTTAAAACACAAGTAGCTGAGCCCCAGCCCCAGAGGTTCAGATTCAGTAGACTTGGGGTAGGGCCTGAGAATTTGTATCTCTAAAAGTTCTCAGGGGATGTTGATGCTGGTGGTCCAGGGTCCACACACTGCCCATCACTGCTTTAGAGAAGACCCCAGGTTAGCCAGAGGGTTTATCACACTTTCATCATTAGAGGTCATGCCCAGAAACTTGAGATGCAGCTTCCCTGGGCAGCCATTCCTTTCCTGTTCCTGAATCTCCCAGCCAGATACCTGGAGCTGCATCTGTGATGACAGCTGGGCCGGGGGCACCTTAAATTCAAAACACGCCCTATTCCTGAGAACAGATGAAGGCTGCCAGCAGGGCAAGGAACCAGTCCCTCTCTCGTCCCCTATTTGTTAGCCAGTTATGGTCCTGTGGTCTAGGCCCTTGAAAACAAGGTGACATCTCTTAGAGCACCTGTATCAGAATCACCTATGAGGTTTAGATTCATGGGCCCATCCTCAGTAATTCCGGGAGTCAGCCAGGGAATCTGCATTTTAACAAGCCCACCACATCAGTGGTTCTCAAAGCTGGTCCTCAGACAAGCATCACCACCCATGAACTAGTTAGAAATTCTTGGACACTACCCCACCTCAGCAATCTGAAATTCTGGGATTGAAGCCCAGTAACTTGTGTTTTAACACGTCCTCTAGGTGATTCTGTTGCACACACAAGGTTGAGAACGATTGGTGTAAATTACTCTGCCCCTCGAGTTTAAGATCTCTGGATGTGGACTGCTTTTCACTGGAGGTTTTAGATTTCTTTCCTACCTGCCTAGGCCAAAAACACCCACAGGAAGCGAAGCGCCCCCAACAAAGGCCCCCCTGTCGCACGTTTGTACCCTACGAGAGAGAGCTAGAGTGAATCTTTGTTGAATCTGGTCATTTGTTTGCGGGCCAGTCCTGCTCTATTTGCCCAGGCAGTGGTCCCTAAAGAGCGACCTGGCACGCTCCGAAGCCCAACCCCTGGCTGGGTCACCTCGGGAAGAGGCGGTGTCGTGGGCAGGCTTTCCCGAGGGTACTGGGCTGGCGTCCCGCCCCGCGCTCCTGCGTAAACACGCGGTTCCTCGGCAACGCCTGGAACCCACGTCAACGGCTCTGCGGTCCCGGGCGACCGCCACCCTCCGGCCGAGCCCGGCTGCCCGCAGCGGCCGCCCCTCCGGCCGAGCAGCCGCCTCCCCCGTGCGGGATGAACAGACCCGCGGCCACCGCGGGGCCCCATGGAGGAGCAGCGGCGGCCGCCACCGGCCCGCCCACCAGCGAGCATGGCCTTATTGGGCGGCCCGCGCCCCGGCGCCCCCTCCGCGGCCGGCGCCCCTGGCGGGACTTCCTCCGCGGCGACGGCGGCCGCGCTCTCCTTCAGCACCGTGGCGACCGCGGCGGCCGCGGCGCTGGGGAACCAGAGCAACGCGAGCGGGGGCGGCAGCGCTGCCGCCCCGGGTGGCGGCGGCCTAGGCGCGGCAGGGGCGGCGGGGTCCGCGCGGGCTGCGGGGGCGGCGGCGAGGCCGCCGCTGGGCCCGGAGGCGGCGCCGCTGCTGTCGCACGGGGCGGCAGTGGCGGCCCAGGCGCTGGTCCTCCTCCTCATCTTCCTGCTGTCTAGCCTGGGCAACTGCGCGGTGATGGGGGTGATCGTCAAGCACCGGCAGCTCCGGACCGTCACCAACGCCTTCATCCTGTCGCTGTCCCTGTCGGATCTGCTCACGGCGCTGCTCTGCCTGCCCGCCGCCTTCCTGGACCTCTTCACGCCGCCCGGGGGTTCGGCGCCCGCAGCCGCCGCGGGGCCCTGGCGCGGCTTCTGCGCCGCCAGCCGCTTCTTCAGCTCGTGCTTCGGCATCGTGTCCACTCTCAGCGTGGCCCTCATCTCGCTGGACCGCTACTGCGCCATCGTGCGGCCGCCCCGGGAGAAGATCGGCCGCCGCCGCGCGGGGCAGCTGCTGGCGGGCGCCTGGCTGGCCGCGCTGGGCTTCTCCCTGCCCTGGGAGCTGCTCGGGGCGCCCCGGGAGCCCCCGGCGGCGCAGAGCTTCCACGGCTGCCTGTACCGGACCTCCCCGGACCCCGCGCAGCTGGGCGCGGCCTACAGCGTGGGGCTGGTGGTGGCCTGCTACCTGCTGCCCTTCCTGCTCATGTGCTTCTGCCACTACCACATCTGCAAGACGGTGCGACTGTCGGACGTGCGTGTGCGGCCCGTGACCACCTATGCGCGCGTGCTGCGCTTCTTCAGCGAGGTGCGAACAGCCACCACCGTGCTTATCATGATCGTCTTCGTCATCTGCTGCTGGGGACCCTACTGCTTCCTGGTGCTGCTGGCCGCGACCCGGCAGGCCCAGGCCGCGCAGGCCCCCTCGCTCCTCAACGTGGTGGCTGTCTGGCTGACCTGGGCCAATGGGGCCATCAACCCTGTCATCTATGCCGTCCGCAACCCCAACATTTCGATGCTCCTAGGTCGCAGCCGCGAAGAGGGCTACCGGACTAGGAATGTGGACGCTTTCCTGCCCAGCCAGGGCCCGGGTCTGCAAGCCAGAAGCCGAAATCGCCTCCGGAACCGCTACGCCAACCGGCTTGGGGCCTGCAGCAGGATGTCCTCTTCCAACCCAGCCAGTGGGGCGGGAGGGGATTTGGCCATGTGGGCCCGCAAAAATCCAGTTGTACTTTTCTTTCGGGAGGGGCCACCAGAGCCTGTGACAGCAGCTGCCAAAGAGCCAAAATCCGAAGCCGGGGATACCAGCCTCTGAGGCAGGATGGTATGGACAGCTTGTGAAGGCAAATTTCCACTCGCTTCATTTGATGATACAGGATTCCGGGAAGAATCGTGGGATTTCATAAAGCCAAACATTTAAAACTAAAGAGTTGGGGGGAGGGTCACCACTTCCCCCAAACAACATAAAAGACAATGTCCATTTCTTCAGAAGTGCCAAAAGGAATGTAAAATGCAAAAAATTAAAACAATCTTAAACCACACAACCAAGCATTGTGAACTGTAAGTGCCAAAAATGACAAAAATAATATTCACAATTACTGAATAGCTCATATTAGAGGATCACACTGTGAAACAAACAAAACATTGAAGGCAGCTAGTATTTGTTCAACTGCATAGAGTTTCAGGAATGAATGGAGAACCCTCAGAGCTGCTTGAAAGCCCTTCTAAATCACCAGCATTCAACAAAACTTCAGATTCTAGAAAATGCACCTCTGGCATGCTTTGGGTGCTTAGGTTAGGAGCAGAAAATTCTTACCCTTACATCGGCGCACTTCTCCACCCCACACCCTTACCACTTTTTTGGGAACTTGTACATTTATATACCATTTAAAACATTTTAATATTTTGAAAATGTGGTTTATTACTAGATAAAAATCAACCATGTGAAGGGCAGATAGAAGTATGAACATAAATGTTTCTGTTTTAAAAAGTATTCCAAAATTATAATAAAATTTAATATTCCTTCCATCCCATCATACTCCCAAAATGATCTGCCTTGGAAAACTTTGAAAAGTAAGCTT